ATCGAGTCCCACATCGGGCTTCCTGCTTGGCAGGGAGTCTGCTTCTCCCTCTGACCCTCTTCCCTCTCGTGCTCTCTGTCTCTCATTCTCTCTCTCTCAAATAAATAAATAAAATCTTTAAAAAAAAATAACCGGTTTTTGGTTTTGTTGATTCTTTGTATTGTTTTTCTGTTTCCATTGACATTTGTATTTTCTTTATTTTCTTCCTTCTGCTTACATTGAATTTAATTTTTTTTTCTTGTCTTAAGGTGAAGTTTACATTGTTGGTTTAAGACTTTTCTTCTAATTATAGTCATTCAATGCTATAAATTTCATTCTAAACACTGCTTTAGCTGCATCCCACAAGTTTCGATAGATGTGTCTTTGTTTTATGAGTTATTCAGAAATTTGTTGTTTAATATCCAAATGTTTGAGGATTTCCCTGATTTTTTTCGTTATTAGTTCTACTTTAGTAACTTTTCAGTCAGAAAATATACTATAAATGATTTCAATTTAAAAAAAAATGGAGGAGGGGTGCCTGGGTGGCTCAGTCGGTTAAGTGGCTGCCTTCGGCTCAGGTCATGATCCTGGGGTCCTGGGATCCAGCCCCACGTCTGGGTCCCTGCTCAGTGTAGAGCCTGCTTCTCCCTCTCCCTCTGCCTGCCACTCTGCCTACTTGTGCTCTCTCTCTATCTCTCTGTCAAATAAATAAATAAAATCTTTAAAAAAAATGGAGGATTATTTTTTGATCCAGAATGTAGCCTATTTTGATGAATGTTCCATGAGCAGTTTTGTGTTTGTTGACTAGAGTGTTTAAGGGTGAGCAAATTTTCAAAATTTTTTTAAAAGATTTTATTTTTAAGCAATCTCTGTTGCTTAGAGTGGGGCTCAAGCTCACAACCCCCAGATCAAGAGTCTCATGCTCTACTAAGCCTGGCAGTCAACCCACAAATTTTCAGTTTTAAAAGATAATTCCAAACTGAGGGTGCCTGACAGTCTCAGTCAGAAGAGCATGTGACTCTTGATCTCTGGGTTGTTAATTTGAGCCCCACGTTGGGTGTAGAGCTTACTTAAATAAATAAAACTTTAAAAAAATGTTAATAGCCAATTTTTTTCTAAAGTGGATTTTTAATTTTACATTTCCATTGCAGTAGATGAAAGTTCCTTTTCATCTGCATCTTTGGCAACATGTGGAGCTGTCAGACTTCTTAATTTTTGCTTATTTTGAGTGTTTAAAATAGTATCTCATTGTGGTCTTAATTTACATTTCCCTGCTTCCTAATGGAGTTAAGAATCTTTTCTTCTGTTTACTAAAAACTTACACTTCCTCTTCTGTGAAATGTTTGTTCATGAGCTTTCATATTGATTTGTAGGAGTTGTGTATATATATATTTTAAAGATTTTATTTATTTGACAGAGAGATAGAGAGCAAAAGTAGGCAGAGAGGCAGGCAGAGGGAGAGGGAGAAGCAGACTCCCCGCTGAGCAGGGAGCCTGACGCGGGGCTGGATCCCAGGACCCTGGGATCATGACCTGAGCGGAAGGCAGCCGCTTAACCGACTGAGCCACCCAAGCACCCCGAGTTGTGTATATTTTATGTATACTCTTCCTTTGTGTAATATAAGATGCACATGTATTCGTCCATTGTCCCAATTTCCTTATGGTATCTTTTAATGAATAGAAATTCTTAATTTTGATATCCAATTTATGAGTCTTTATTTTAGGATTAGTACTTTTTTTTTTACCTAATTTTATCACAAGTTTTTAAGGGACCTCTTTTTTTTCTTTAAAGATTTTATTTATTTATTTGAGAGAGAGAGAATGAGAGATAGAGAGCACGAGAGAGAGGAGGGTCAGAGGGAGAAGCAGACTCCTTGCCGAGCAGGGAGCCCGATGCGGGACTCGATCCCGGGACTCCAGGATCATGACCTGAGCCGAAGGCAGTGGCTTAACCAACTGAGCCACCCAGGCGCCCTTTAAGGGGCCTCTTAATATAATTCTAAATTTAATGGCATTTTGGTGCTTGAGTTAGGCCAATGATTTTTTTTTTTTTTTTAGGTTTAAGGGGTGTACAGCATGATGGCTTGATATACATATATTGTGAAATGATTACTACAATAGGTTTAGTTAACTAACATCCATGAGCTCATGTAGATACAATAAAAAGAAAAGGAAAGAACTTCTTTTTGTGATGAGAAGTCTTAGGATCTACTTTCTCAGCATCTCTCTTATATATCATACAGCAATGTGTTAACTATAATCATTATGTTGTACATGATACCCCTACTATTTATTTATCTTATAACTGCAACCTTTTGTCCACCTTCCTCCAATTCCCTTCCACCCCCCCAAATTTATGATTAAGTACTTTTTGTGTTGTAAGGTACCTTTCCTTAACTTGAACATAAAAATATTCTATAATGGAACTGATTTTCTTCTACTGGAATTGATTTCTCTATCTGGTGTGCATTAGATTCGATGTCATTTTTCTCCCCCTAGGGACACGCATTTGTTCCAGCACAATTTATTGAAGAGATCCTCTCTTTTTTACTCCTCTGCTATTCTTCCTTTATCAAATAACAAGCGTCTGGATTTGCCTGGTCCTTATTTCTGGGGTCTCTAGTGTGTTCCATTGACCTATTGATTTTTCCTTTCTTTATTTTTTTTATTTTTTTCCTCTCTTTATCTTTAAGATGTTAATCTTACTTCTTAACATTATGTAATTATATTTCAATATTATATAGTACTATTGATATTATACCAATATATCACATCAATATTTATTGTAAATAACAATGTGTGAATAATAGTTATTAACATTATGTAATTATATACTAATATTAATATCATAATATTATATAATATT